AATAAGTTTAACACGTAGGCTTTCGCGCCCAATATTATTCATAAAAAGATTTTTTGGGTTAGTATGCGTTATTTTTATGTGTCGTAACCCTCCACCACCCAACACGGCCAAACAGTAAAATAAAATGTGTCACGTTTACAAAGACAAATAGTTCACTATTTTAGCCCACCGGTGTGTTGAAGAGTGAATCAACATCATTTAAAAAAAAATTGGTACGACAGAACCATTCTGGCAAATTGCCCGATGATACTGGATGTAATTACCAGCGAAACGTCACTCAAAATTGTAAATGATGTTGATTCACTTTTCAACACACAGGTGGGCTAAAGCAGTGAACTATTTGTCTCTGTAAACGTGACGCATTTTTTTACTGTTTGGCCGTGTCAGTGTTTCAGACAACAGACCTTATTCAGAGCATGCGAAGGAGATGGTAGGCACAAAAATATGTATAGTGTCACCTGGCATATCTGTGCATGCAAACAGCCCCTTTGTCAAGCTCCCGCTGGGCGAGGGTTTCCACACACAGGTCAGAGTTATTTTTACTCTTAGGTTTTTTCGGTAAAGTCACGTAGGTAAAAATTAATAAAATAAAATAAATGAAAATAACTCAATTAAATCACGACGTTTCGGAGGCAACACAAGTCTCCGTCTTCAGGTGGGACCGTCACAGCCAAATTTACTGTATCAAGTGAAGAGTTATTTTTGACCATACTTCACCACACTGGTGACTGTAGGGAGCATAGACGTTGGAGTATAGTTGGGAGCGTGCGTTTCTCAACGAGGGTGAATTTGTAAGACAACACTTGGTATTATAACTTTCCATCGACATTGTCAACGTGGTCGCTGCACATTTTAAGCGGGGGGGGGGGGGGGGACTCTGTATGCGTGCGCACACGTAAGGCTCGCACGAACATAACGAGTTTGAACTGAATCCTATATACAGGTAGTCCCCGACTTACGATATTTCGATCTTACGATTGCGATAGCGATATGACAAAATTGTAAAATATTTTACATTTCGCGCGGCAGGCAAACGCAGTAGCGTACGATGTACGATACTGTACGTTGGGACGCTGCCGGGATGTTCTGTACGCATCTCCCGCCTTGTGTGGTGATGCCTCCTACTCTCACCAGCAGTCGACGGAGTTAAGTGGTCACGGTGTTAGCGCGTGTATTTTTGTTCTGTGTTTCAGAATCTATGTGAGTACAGTACAATATGATACGTTACGATACGTCCAATGCATGTATGATACGTAGCTTTAGCGATTTCATTTTAGGGTTACCACGATACGATACGTTCAATGCATGTTAAAAGTTTTTATAGCAGATAGGATTGTTTCCTGCAAATACTTTCTATGAAATTGCAGTTCATATAGGTAGGCTAAGAATTTACCTTGTTTTTTTCACTTTACATTTTACTGTGCAATGCAGTATTGTAATTAATAAATACATACAGTATATAGTTTATACAGTACGGGACTGTAAATTGCTCTGTTTTGCTAAATGATCACCATTCTTTAAGACTCCTGGGTAGGCTAGGCCATCTTCGACTTACGATATTTTCGACTTACGATGGGGTCGTCGTAACGCATCTCCATCGCAAGTCGGGGACTACCTGTATTCGATTAAAGCATCGCTTTGCTGACAGTCACGTGACATACTGCAGCATCGAGGCGGTGCTCAACTCGTGTCAAAAGCCGCTGATGCAGTGGTGGAAATTCCACATTCCTATGGCGGGGGGGGGGGGTGTCCATAGGACAACCACTGTTGGCGTTACTCATTTTATCAGCCCTGGAGAGTTGATGGGCCGAGTCGACCAGAGTTTTAACTCGCAACCTCATTGCGAGCAGCGCCCTCTCTCCCTCTCTCCCGCTGAGCCACATCGCTCAAGACATTCCCAGCGAAGCGTCACACTTTGGGTTAACCATCTCGTCGTAGCCCCGGCTCCCTTTTTAAACTGCGCAGTTTGCGCGGGGACACTGCCAATGACCATAAACATTACACAATCTCAGCCTTCTGTTGTCAATCCACTGCTGGATTCGACTACGATTGACGCTGGGCAGGACGGGTTACTGAATGCTCGCGGGGGGGGGGGGGGGGGAATAGACGTTGTAGCATCGTACAGTACAACGGATTTGACTGCGTTGCCCCACAACAATTTAGACGAGTCGCCCATCCAAGCACTGTCCACACTCAACCCTGCTTAGCGTCCCAGATCGCTCGAGATCGGACGCAATTCGGAGTGATTTGTCCACAGGCAAAGCGAGGCAAATAAAAAAAACTTACACAGTTGGTGGATCACGACAAGACGGGAGACACCGTTGGATGCATTACCCCCCCTCTCTCCCCCCCACTACGTGCGTAGTAGGGGCATTCTGTGGCGTTTATTGAAGGAAGCACAGCAAGTAGATTTTTTAAAGACGGCAACACGAGCATATTACGGTTGGTCAAACATCATAGGGGGCCATCCATTTAGTACGTACGCATGGAGGGGGATTAACCCAAATGCGTACGCGTGCGTATGGGATAGGGGGGGGTCTACTGACAATGTACGCATAGGAAACGGGGGAGGGGGGGCGAGGCAGTGAAGCCTCAATAATAATTTGTCTACATTGGCCTTCAAATTAGTTAGATTGTCCGGCGATGGACTGTTTGCTTAATATTATTAATCCTTGATCGTTTCTGCGTGGATTCAATATCGGCCGTTCTATAGGATTGGGGGGGGGGGGCGTCAATCATACGTACGCAGGTGGGGGGGGGGGGGTATAAAAAGTCCTCGTGCGTACAGGGAGGGGGGGGTAAGGCTCAAGTTGACAGATTTTTTGCGTACCTACTAAATGGATGGCCCCGTAACGCAATCCTCCTCCTGCAATGGACACGCCCGACGCAGCAAACCGATTGCACGTTTATGGCATTCTCGCTTCGGCTGTCACTTCACTCTTGATGAGAGGGGTCGTGGACGCGTACCACAGGTTGAGAGCGCCCCCCCCCCCCCTTCCTCTCCAGAAGGGCCTACTCTTCCACGTTGGCCACACGTCTTCGAAGAGGTGCCAGTACCCACACTTTAACCCCCATCACACGCACCACCTGCCGACGATCTGCAGAGCGGTGTGTGTCCATTTGCATAGCCGGGTGGACAGATCCACGGCGGGATGTGGGATGGGGAATTCACGAAATTGCACCATTTGCTTTAACTTCCGTAATGGGGAACCAGAATTGACGACTTCTTGATTTCAAGGCCAGTGCTGCATGAGCGGTTTGACAACATTGTTACATTCCACTGTTACTCTAGATTCAGTACAGCACGTAGGTTTTCGCGACCAATGTCATCCACAAATCGAGTTTGTTTTGGGGGTTCTATCGCGTAAATGTGTCGTTGAACCCACCACCACCCGACACATTTAACTAGTACGGCTTGTCACGTAAACAAAACGTGCTAATTAGTTACTGCTTCAGCACACCGGTGTGTTGGAAAGTAAACCCACAACATTTTTGCGTGTGATTTTTTAACCACAAATCTCACTTTCTCCCGAAGGCGACGAGACCAGAATTATAGAGGCATGACACACAACACACACATCTCGTACCGGACTGCAAGGCGCACCAGCCCAACTTATAACTTATTACAGAACTCAGACCGTATTGGTCACTCCGTTCCCTTATCAATCTCAACGTTCATCCTATATTTGAAGCTTTCGTGACTGCAAGATTCATATTCTTAGGTTTTTTTCGGTAAAGTCACGTGAATTTACCGAAAAAACCTAAGAATATGTTCATCCTATACACAACACTATACACCCCTATACACTACACATTGCACTATACTATACACCACACTATACATTACTATACACTGCTATACACTACACTATACACCACACTATACATTACTATACACTGCTATACACTACACTATACACCACACTATACATTACTATACACTGCTATACACCACACTATACATTACTATACACCACACTATACATTACTATACACTGCTATACACTACACTATACACCACACTATACATTACTATACACTGCTATACACTACACTATACACTACACTATACATTACTATACACCACACTATACATTACTATACACTGCTATACACTACACTATACACCACACTATACATTACTATACACTGCTATACACTACACTATACACTACACTATACATTACTATACACCACACTATACATTACTATACACTGCTATACACTACACTATACACCACACTATACATTACTATACACTGCTATACATTACACTACTACATACCTGTCAACCCCCCTTATCAGTGCCCTACCTAATAACATACCAATTCAGACATCATTGGTCACCCCGTGCCCTTATCAATCTCAACGTTCATCCTATAGAGTCCCATCACAAGGCAGTAAACACAAATAAGACACATTTTTTTGCCCGTATTGAAACGGCTGTACGCCGTATAGACCTGACAACTTAATTTCCCTGTGAGTTGAGAACTATGGGTTTTAAAACGCTGGGGGAATAGTTCCTTTTACAATCCAGGGTAGAATACGGGAAGTGGTAATGCAGTACACGTACGTGACGTGGTTTACGTGCATTTTGCACACAACGCATACAAAGTGGTTATACACAATACCGTTGTATACTCAAACTGAAATAACCCCAATAATGTTGTTGATAAGTAGACTTGTGTTAAACATTACCGTATAACTTACTAATACGACTCGTGCGCTATAACCCGCATATCCGTACGGTATAATCCCATCAGCGACAGCACACAACTACCGCAACTTAACACAAATCACACCCCCCCGCCCGCATTTCGACTCGCAAAGGTTTGACACCGACGTGCAACAAATAAATGTTTACATTTATCGCGATAAGAACGTTTGCCTAAACGTCGGCAACGAAGGGGTGTCAAGACCACAACACCACCAGGGGCCTACTCTAGGCCTCGCCTAGGGCACGCAAAGCCAACGGAGTTTAGCGCCGCACTCAAACTCGCCTTTCGCACTTCTCTTCCGTCAGCGTCGACCGCCTCAACTTTTTATCTCGACTCCCAAGTGCTCCTCCTCGTCGTTTAATTTTGTTGTGGACGCTCAAAGTCACCGATAAAATCCCTCGGCTCGTCAAATCTCCTCACAACCGACGCCACCAACTCTGCGCCTCGGCCACCAACACCGAGAAGCGGCCGCCTCGCGCGTTACAAAACCCTCGCGCGGATAGACACGCCCCCCCCCTCGCCTCGACCAATCGCGTCGCGTTGCGTGCACCCCCCCCGCCCCGCACCCCCCCGCCCCGCGCACGCCTCGACCAATCGCGTCGCGTTGCGCGCGCTACCCCCCCGCCCCCCGCCCCCGAATGGGCAAGGAGCCCGCGCGCTGACGGCGGAGGCTGCGTGACGCTGAAGTGACGGTGACGTCATTGTGGGGGCGGCGTGGGGGGTGGGGGGGGAGCGGTGGGGGAGCGGTTAGCGCCGTGAAGGGCACCGGACCTGGCCACCTGGCCACCTGGCCACCCGAGTTCGATACCTACGTGACTTTACCGAAAAAACCTAAGAATAAAATTCGATTCCAAGCTCAGGGCTAACAACACCGGCGACGATTATCCGAACCGGTCCTGAGCCTCCCCTAGGTCGACTCGGTCTCAAATGAGTACCTGGTTGCGGTGTGTTAAAGTCGTCACTGGGGAGACAAAGGCGGCCGGGCGTGGTGCTGGTCACCCACCTCCTCGTGTGCCGTGCCGGCCTTCACAGGTGCTCGCGAACAGCACTTGCCCCTACAGTCTGTTAAGGCTACACGGGGGATCTTTGTCTTTGTGTGGGGGAGTGGGGAGCGGTAGTGTAGCGGTTAGCGCGCTGCGTAACGAACCTGGCGGCCCGAGTTTGATTCCCGCTCACGGCTAACACCGGCGACTATTATCTGGGCCTCCCCTAGGTCGACTCGGCCTCAAATGAGTACCCGGTGCGGGAGGGGAGGGGTGACCGGCTCCGGTCTGAACAGCAGAGGTCTCACTCCGAATGAGTCGGGCGGCTTTATCTTTTTAAATCCTTTATATTAAGTTCACTTGCTTGCTTGCTTGCGCGCTTACGACCGTGCAATTCTTTCGGTCGTTTTTTTAACCCACTTCCCGTGATCCAATCGAGCTGACATTTTGCACACAGACTCGTTGTGCGTGACAATTTATTTTCGTGAAAAAAAATATCCAACATTTTTTACTTTTTAGGAATTTTTTTTTCATATTTAATTTAAAATACCAATGTGATAAAAATGAAACTCTTACTCAAGAAAAACAGAAATGAATAATAAAATGAAACCGATGCCACGCATATAAAAGATTTATAGTGAAAAACTTTGTTTTTTACGGGTTAATTTTTTACCGGCTGCGCTAATTTTTGAGCGAAAATTTTTTTTTTGATGCCACCGATGTCGGCTAGCTGATGCCACGACATTTGGTACACGAGCACGCGGAGCAAAACAAACCCCACACGTCCCGTGGCCTTCACAGTCAAACAAAGAAGAGGATGTAATAACAGGCGACGTTTCGGGCAATGCTTCTTCTTCAAAGTACATGCGTAGAGTTGCCAGGGAGGTGAAGTGGACAAGAGTTGCGTTTGAACTAGAGACATTAGCCGGGACGTTGCCGAATTGTATTTCAACATTTATTTTAAGGCCACGCTTTAGCTACTCTTGACGCTTGTGTTGAGTTCTCAGTAGGGGGTCGTCCATAAATGACGTCACGTGATTTTGGACGATGTTTGACCCCCCCCCCCCCTTCGTCACACGGCGTGACAAAAAGTCAGACCCCCCCCCTCAAATATGACGTCACAAAGCTCTGCCCCCCCCAAATAAAACATGCTTCAAATCGCTTTAAACTATTGTCATTGTAGTGCGTATTTAATGTGGCGCTGCAATCTGATGTTGTAGGAGAACACATTTATTAAAAAGTATATTTAATTAAGTAGAACGTGTTGTCTATATTTATTTAAAGTTGCGCATTTTGATGTGACGTCACATTTCTCAAAGCCCCATCCAAACACAACGCAGGGTCAACTTCACTTAGCTTCTGAGCCCCAATGAGGTCGGCCGAATTCCAGGTGATCACCAAAATGCCCTGTAAACACGCAACGTCGAGCCAACGTTGGCCTGACGTTCCATGTTTACCGGGATGCTTTCTTCAGATACGTCTCAAGGCTGCTTGGTGGTGTTCGGTAAATCCCATCACTTGCTTGGACGTCATCATTTGTGGGAGGAAGCCAACGCGTCTGGAGAATACCCAGGAGGCAATCGAGGGAACAACACTCAAATTATCCTGTGCGGATCACCATCACAGCATGAGCCCCACGGGCAATCCTTGGCCGGATGAAGGCCTCCCCACTTCGTCGACATCCTTCAGGGCCCTGCGATGTCACAATCCACCTCGCGCCTGCGCACGAGTTGATTTCAGCGCTCCGTCTCCAGCGTGGTCGTAACCTCTCAGACGCGTTCCCTCTTTCGGCTGCCACTGATGATGATGCTGATGCAATTTTAACTTTTTTTTTTATTAAAGGGGCGCCACGGTGGCTAGGAGATGTTAACGACCTCGCCTGGTGTACAGGAGGTCGTGGGTTCGATCCCGACCCTGACGCCTGCTGCTGTATATTTGGAGTTTGCGGTGTCTCTCTCCCCGTGGTCGCGTGGATTTGCCACTATTCTGGCAAATCGCCCGATGATACTGGATGATATAATTATCAGCGAAACGTCGTACTACACAAATTGTAAATGGTGTGAATTTACTCTCCAACACACCGGTGGGCTGAAGCAGTAACTAATTGGTAGTTTTGTTCACGTGACAAATCCCTTACTGATAGGCTGTGTCGGGTGGTGGAGGGTCACGACACAACATTTATACTTCCGCGATCTAACCCAAAAACCTTTATTGTGCATAACATTGGTCGCGAAAGCCTGTCACGTGGTAAACGCGGTATAAATGTAGCCGAGTACCTCCACGTGCTTTCATTTCACGTGGCTCTATATAGTTGCCGATATATCATGCCGTTTGTTTACCCAGAATAGCCTCGCAGAGTCTTAAGACCTTGTGTTTTTTTTGCAGGAGGGTCCCGCCAGTGGTTTAGTGTGGCTTGGCATGGGCTCTGATGCAAGCAGTAAATACATTTAATGCCTCCCCAGCCCCCCTTCATAGCCCCCCCCACCCCCCACAGCCCCCCTTCATAGCCCCCCCCACCCCCCACAGCCCCCCTTCATAGCCCCCCCCACCCCCCACAGCCCCCCTTCATAGCCCCCCCCACCCTCCACAGCCCCCCTCCACAGCCCCCCCCACCCCCCACAGCCCCCCTCTACAGCCCCCCCACAGCCCCCCTTCATAGCCCGGCGCCTGGACCCCGGTTCAGCTTCACCGTCTGCACACTCGGCAGTAGCGCCATGACAGGATACAGAAAAATGAATTCGCGACAGAATGAATAATAAATTATGTTAACATTTTATGCCCATATATGGGGTCATTTCGCGTGGCTTTGCCCACACAAAGATTGGAACGGGAATAGACTTTTTTTTTTAACGAGACGTAACTCTGTTCAAGAGCGCGTCTTGGCGGTCACAAACTCACCGCCTCATTCCGTGGCCGAGCTGCCGTGGAAGGTTTCGTGTGGACGTGGGTCAAACGTTGGCGCCCGATGTTACAGCGGTGAAAGAGCTGAGCGCAAATTGGCTCCATGCAAAACTCTTTTTGTTGGGCGAGTCCATGACAATGTCTGCTGTCAAACCGCCCACGTCTCAACTTTCAGAACAATGGGATTGAATTTGGTTCACGTTGTGCCGCTGAAACAATGGGGCAAAGTTCCTACTTAGAACTTTCGTGACTGCAGGAATTCGTATTATTTGGTTCTTTCGGTAAAGTCACGTATATAAAAATAATAATAAACTTTATTATTATTATTATTATTCTATCTACGTGACGTTGATAGAAAAAATATAGGAAAAAGTGTATTTAAATTCCATCCCCCACCCACCAAAAGACCCCCCCCCGTGTAGCCGTAACAGATTGTTGGAGCAAGTGCTGTTGGCGGGTAGCCCCTATGGTGGCCGGCACGACACGGCACACGAGGGGTGGGTGGCCAGCACCACGCCCGGCCGCCTTTGTCTTATATCAGGCTGAGTCGACCCAGGGGAGGCACAGGACAGGTTCAGTTATAATCGCCACTGGTGTTGGCCGTGAGCGGGAAGTGAACTCAGGTCGCCGGGTTCGTAGCGTAGCGCGCTAACCACCACGCTACCGCTCCCCCCCCACAACAACAACCGCCATTCGCCACTAAGTGGCGGTGACGTCACCACGACGCTTGTGCCAGGCCATGTGCACCTTGAGGCTACCACGTGAAGTGTCGAACGCCCGCTGGCAGGAGGTCACGGGGCAGACCCAGCAGGTGCCACGGGTCGACTGACTGAGATGACCGAGATGACTGGCTGATGCACCACCTGTGCCCCCTACTGTGCCAACTTGCTGTGCTTTAGCCACCCGGTGCTCCGCTCGTTGTTGTGAGCGTTGCTCATCCGCCCTCCCACACACACAGACACACACACACCCTCTCCCACATACCACACATCCTCTCCCACACACCACACATCCTCCACCTCTGGGTATACCACGGTCGATCGGGCAGGTCGCGTTTGGTGGCGGGGTCAATCGCGGGCGCTACCACCTCTTCTCAGACATCTGGCCATGCGCGGAAGAGTAGGCAAAGTACTCTGGGTCGCTCTTGCAAATGAGACTCATCCTGCAGGGTAAACAAGTAAACGTGACTTGACCCTCTAGAGCTCCCTGCATTGGAGGCCGCTTCTGTCAGCGGTAGCGTGAGCGAGAAATTGCGGGGCTGCGCCTGGAACGTTGATTTGTTTAATATTGAATTTTGTAAAAAAAAATTAAGTGAGCTTTCTGAGAGCGAGGTGGAAGCCAGTGTCCGTGTGTGCTCACAAAGACGCCGCATCTCATCGGGCGGACTCAATGCTCGTTGTTTCGATTGGTGCCCTTTAAAATGCGCTTCCTTCTGACTCCACGTGACACCCGAATGTCAACCGTCAACTCAACTGAGTCGGGAGGCCGCCTTTAAATAAGTTCCCGTCGTTGTGTTAAAAACAAGGTGTCACATTTTCCACTTCAGTCGTGCACTCTGAAGGCTACGGTCTCACGCGTGAACTTATTTTTCTTTATTTT